TCATGAGAAGCGTGAGGAAGAATTTGGATGTCGATGTGGAGAGGTTGTTTGAGGCAGAGCTTTGAAACCAGACCTTCAAAGGGTGGTGCAGAGAGGTCGATCCCCAGTCCTTGGCGAGCCTGAGTGGGACATGAGGCTGTGAGCCACCTGGGTCGGCCAGTGGGCTGGCGGAGATTCTGGGCTTCCCGGTGTGCCAAGCAGGTGTCCTCATTTCCTGTATGAGCCGGCATGAGAAAAGTTGGGCGGTATTACCCTGAGGGGTAGAGCAGTGCCTTGGAAGTATGATGATGGGACGAGGGCACACACTGTCGTCCTTAACGGTCAGGGTGCTTGGTTACAGATGGCAAGAATTTATTCTAGCCAATCTGACCCACATCGGGGTTGTCTGGGGCAATCCGTGTGAAATTTGTTCTCAGACCGATCTAATACGCATTTGAGAGCATTTTCTGTCATCAGCCGCACTGAACTTAGTTTTTAGGTACACAAAGACCGTCTTCGCTCGCAGGAGACTCCTTCCCTGTGAATACTTTAAGATGTTTGATCAATGGCTGTCTTCTCTTCTGCTGTAGATAAAGGGGAGGCTCTGTTTATCTCTGACTGGTTAGGGATGGGGATTATTTGGTGACAGTGTCCCCAAAGGGAGAATTATAATCACAAGTTTATAATCTTTTTTGATCAACTAGTTCAAAGCCTGCTGTACAAATAACTTGATCTCTGTTAGCTTCTAAAAATCTCCACAGGCCATTTGTAGGAAAACTTCCTTCCTTATTCCCTTTACTCCCTGTAGAAGTTGCAGGCTTTTGGAAAAAAAAAAAAAAAAAAAAAAAAAAAAAAAAGTCCCTGTTGCTCTAATGTTGCATTTGCGTGTAGTTTTGTCACTAAAAATAACTGGCATAGTGACGGGTTGCCTTTAGGATTTAGGTTTTTGGGGTGAGAAAGAGAAGATAAGGACCAGCCATAATAAAGGTTCTTACTTAGAGAAAGTGCATGGGGGGAAGAGAAGAAATGCTGGGGGAAACAGTGTTCGCGTCCACGAGATAGCCTCTCTGAAGCATCGTAAGAACTGCTTTCCTCCTTTCTGCCTCTCCCCACATCTCGTCTTTGGCTGACTTTCTGGGACTGTCCTTCTCCTCCTCAAAACCGCCCCGTGAGTTCATCTCCAAACGGTCAGCCTTTGGAGAGTGGGAGCCCTGCAGGAGCAGCCCATGCAACTCGATCTTCCCCTACACCCCCTGGCACCGGCTCTAGGCCCTGAGTCACCACCTCCGCTTAGAGAGGCTGTGAACTCTTATAGAATTGTTTAGCGTATTTTGTTGGTGGACGATCAGAACATGTGCTCGGACAGTGTTCAAGACAGTTGCAGATGTGGTGAAGTATGGCGTGTGTTCAGACCTAACCTGTGTAAGTCACGTTGTGTGATGTTTGTGTGCTTGTTCATTTCTGCGGGAAATGGCCTTCAAGACCCCAGTTTATTTTTGCTCAAGTGTGAAAGCAGTGCTGAGGAAGGATGTGTGTGTGTGTGTGTGTGTGTGTGTGTGTGTGTGTGTGTAAATATTTACTTTCAAGAAAACAGTTTAAGTTTTAATTGTAGTAATATATTTTGTCTGCCTGCAAAGGTTAGCTGCTGTCCCCTCAAACTGAGCTTTGGAAGAAAGGGCCAGTTTTAGTGTTTTCCTCGGGATGGTTTTCACAATGATTCTTTGTTCTGTTATTGTCCTGAATTTGATCTTAGTGTGTTTTCAGTTTTTCACCCTATAGGGTGGTTCCAGACACAACCACATGACAGGTGGTGTTCAGTTTTTGATTTGGGGGGTTGGTAGGCATTGAGCTCATTCAGAACTTCATTTCTTTTATTTTCTTAAAGTTTATTTACTTTGCGATCGATCTGGGAAAGGGCAGAGAGTGAAGGAGAGAGAGAGAGAATCCCAAGCAGGCTCTGCACTGCCAGTGTGGATCCCGATGTGGGGCTCGAACTCACAAACGGTGAGATCATGACCTGAGCTTAACTGACTGAGCCACCCATGTGCCCCCAGAGCTTAATTTAAATTCCTGAAACTTTGTTCTATAAAGTAACATTCATAGGTTTCAGGGATTGATTAGGACCTGGTGTCTTTTTGTTTGTTTGTTTTTTAATTCTTCTTTCAGTGTTTATTTTTGAGAGAGAGAGAGAGAGAGAGAGGTGGGGAGGGGCAGAGAGAGAGAGGGAGACACAGAATCAGGAACGGGCTCCAGGCTCTGAGCTGTCAGCACAAAGCCCGACGTGGGGTTCGAACCCATGAACCGCGAAATCATGACCTGAGCTGAAGTCGGACGATTAACCGACTGAGTCCCCCAGGCATCCCATGGACCTGACATCTTTGAAGGCCTCCATTTTCACTGCAGTCCACCTGTGGCCCCCAAATACTTACATCTTCTCCGTGTGCGGACGATACTCTTGGTGCTCCGGCTTCCCCCAGAGCCTTAGGTCACAGCATCAGCTCGAATCCAGATCTTACCTAGACACCACCAGTTCATCAACCCCCAGTCTCATCAGAATCATCCAAATCAGGTATGGGTGAGGCAGAGTATGATCCGTTGTGACACAAGATTCCTCTCCATCCGCGAACCTAGAAGCAAGAAGACAAGTGACCTTGTCAGGCATTGGATCGCATTTCTAGAGATACCCATTCAAAATGGGAGGACACTGAAGGAAAAAAGGAAACGCAGTCCCAAGCAGTTTCAAAATCCAGCAGAGCAAATTCCGTTAGGGTTCAAGGCCCGGGGATAGCCCTCTGCCTTTAGATAATTCCTAAAGACAGATTTCCAAGAAGTAAAAGAGCCTGTTCATTAAAGACTTTTTCTTGTATGTTGCTGAACATTTCATCAGAAACAATTCTATCACTTTATTTTTTTTTACCAGCAATGTGTGATACTAGTGATTCTTCTACCTGGTCACGTTAACCCATTATCATTGGGGGGAAAAATAGGTGTATATATAAACGAGACCTAAGTTTTGCCAGTTTCACATGAACAAAATTTTTAACTGTTTTTGGTGTTAGTGAGTGCCTTTCATAATTTGTTCTCAGTTTTGCTTTACTGAGCAAAACTTTACTTTTTCATACCCTTGCCAATTTTTCTATTTTTCTTGACTTGTGTGATGTCTTTATGTATATTTAGAGTTTCCTGTTTTGTATTGCAAGGATTTTCCCCAGATTTCCCTTAAATTTTTTTAAGTTTTTTTTTGTAGTATATGGAATTTGCTTTTTAATACAGCCAAACCTGCCGATTTTCATAGAGAACCTTTTGCAATTATAGAGAACCCCTTCTCTACTGGCTTTCAAATGAAACTGAATTTAAAATAAATGTTTGGCACCTGAATGGGCAAGTTACGTGGAAAATTCATGTTGTACCATGCTTACTTCTTTTTTTTTTTTAATGTTTTATTTATTTTTGACAGAGAGAGAGAGAGAGAGAGAGAGAGACAGAGCATGAACGGGGGAGGGGCAGAGAGAGAGGGAGACACAGAATCCGAAGCAGGCTCCAGGCTCTGAGCCATCAGTACAGAGCCCAATGCAGGGCTTGAACCCACAGACTGAGTTCATGACCTGAGCCGAAGTCGGACGCTCAACTGACTGAGCCACCTAGGCGCCCCCCATGCTTACTTCTGAACATGATGTGTCTGGGCTTCTTGGGAATTCACGTTATCCTGTAGTAAAGCCTGTCTCCCAGAGCTGATCCAGGAGCCACGGCCAGGAGCTCTCTGCTCTTGTCCTGCAGTCCCGACCAGCTAGTGTGGCACCCTGAAACTTACAACTGTCATCAGAAACACCAGGCTGAGTAGATGGAGCCCCTTCATACATCTTCGGAACCCATACATCTTCTGAAGGGGTGGGAAAGGGTTTGGATTGTAGACGTGTTGTTTGAGAAGGTAGATACATGCATAACAAACCAGGAAGTGTGTATGCTGGAAAAGGTATCTTTAGTATCTACGGGAAGCTAAGATGTGTTGCAAATGCTTAACAAACCTGACTTTGTTACAGAGTTGCCATTCGGTAGAATCCCAGAGAAATGATCTTGTAAGCTTTATTGACATAGAGAGGAATATGGTCAGTGAGTATAGCATGTTACAAAACATATTGTGGTCTGATTTTAATGGTAGAGAAAAAAAATGGGTGTCTATGTACAGAAAATAGTTTCCAAGAGACAATGATTATTTGGGGATAATTGGACTTATATATAATATATATTTAAAAAACCCCATATGTTCTGTAGGTGTATACATAATATTATGTATATTTTTCTTTATCTTTTCTGACTTATGTATAATATATGTTTTTAAAAACTCATATATTCTGTAGGTATATAAATAATACTCTGTGTATTTTTCTCTTCTTTATCTTTCTGAAATTTTTGGCTTTTCTATACTGGACATGTTTTGTTGGCATAATGTAAAACATTGGTACCTTACCTCCCCTTTCCCTAACCCCAAAGAAATGTCCCCAGATAAATAATTATTTGAAATACCAGTGTATTGAACTTGAAGTTGACCGTGCCATGATGTTTTTTTAGCTTGTAATGGTTGCAGAATGCTTGAGATTCTTCGCTCGGTCATTTATGCTATGTTTGAGGGAAAACCATTAAACTATGGCATCGAAGTGTAACCCTGGAAAGGTGGTAATACTTTAGGATTTTTCAATATATTTGCTGAGGTAAATGATTTTTGTAGTGGTATTTTCATTTGCAAAAGTGTTAGCGTCTCTGAACAATATAAACTTGAAACACTGAACGTTGTTTTCTATTGTATTGAAGCATAACGGATGATTTGTAGTTAGTAACAACTTTAGGTCATTTTTATTTACTGTTTCTTAATTCTGAGAAATTCTTTGTTGCCTTTCAAAATATTATATTAACTGTATGTTAAAACACATTTTTCTGCTTTTTGGTATGAATTTCTTATGCCCTCAGAGTGGTATCTCTTTTATAGTGCTTGAAACTTTTACTTTTTATTTGTTATTTCTTAGGTAAACGCAAAGCACTGAAGTTGAATTTTGCAAATCCACCTTTCAAATCTACAGCAAGGTTTACTCTGAATCCCAATCCTACAGGAGTTCAAAACCCACACATGTGAGTATTCTGGTAATCAACTAAAAGGCTCAGCTAAAGCAAAGGTTTTAATGTTACTGTATTTTATGAATTTTCCCAAGTTGAGGGGTTGGTATTTTCATTATTTTATGGGCCATTTGAAATACTACTATTTGAACTTAAGTAGAAAATTATTGATTCTGTAGTCTGAACTAGATAAGCATAATTTTCCTTGTTAAAGTTTAAACTTGAAGGGAAAAATAGCTGAAGATCCAGATGCCTTGAGATCGTTACCATTTTTCTCTTTCTGAACTGAGACTATCGTTTAGACCTTTCCCTCTGGATTTCCATTTAAATTGTAAGTGGTACTTAGGAAACATAACTCTTACCTCTAGATCTGTACAAATCGTCCCTGCTTACTGGGTGACAAAATAGAGTCCCATTCTATTTTATTATGATGAACTAAATTCCTGTAAGATTTTCATGTCACAGTAAATTGAAAGAATGTGTGCCCGTCAGTGTACAGGTGTCAGTGAATATTTTTAAAATTTATTCCCTACATGTATATTTTTCCCTAAATATTTTTATTAAAATGAAAAAATGATATTTTAGCATCACTGAAAGTCACCGAGTGTATTAGAAACATCTGTTAATTTAAAATACCTCCAGAATAATATTTACAGACACCTTTGAATTGAAGTGAAGTGATGTATTAAATAATGATGCCTCCCCCTTTTCCCCCCCAAGACCTATCATGAGTATGAAGGGTCAAAGCCAGTGGCTTCACGTTCATAAAATTAATTTTTCCTAGTTCCGGGATTGAGAACGATAAAGCAAGCAAATGGCAGAAGGTATGGTTTAAAAAGCAGTCAGAATATAGTATCTGCAGTTTTTAATCATTCCTTAACAATTTTTATTCAAACCTTGTTAGACTACAAATTGATTCATACTTCCCAAAAAAGCACATTTATGGCTACTTTCTTTCCTTTTGATGTCTGGCAGGCATCGGATTTGCAAACAGTAACGAACTGGTAGGAGGTACAGTGTCTTGAAATAGGAATGCTAAAAACTATTTTGTTATTTTTAAACCATCAGAGTATAGAAGGGGGCTGTGTGTGTGTGTGTGTGTGTGTGTGTGTGTGTGTGTGTGTGTGTTCGTTCTTAGGTTTTCACCTGTGACTTTAAACCAATGAAAACTAGAGTGACAGCAGTTCATTTGACTGGGAATAGGTCTGCTAATTTTATTAGACTGGTGTCCCTAACGAGATTTCTTGTCAGAGCTCAGTTTAGCGTCCCAGCCTTTTTACCTCCTCGAAAACATCCAGTGGGGGTTATATTGAGGAAGGAAACTCTTAGTACCTCTTAATTACTCAGAACTCTGGCAGCAAGGAAACATTTTTAAAAGAACCTCCTTCCTCATTTCCTAGAATTTCTGGTGAAAGCTAGTACAAAACTAATTCTTGAACATGGTCCATTTCTATTACCTTGGTTGCTAGCTGAACTACGTAGTTGAAGTCTGCGAAAGAGGATATATAGTAATCGCCCAACTTGACAGGTCCTCCCCCTCCCCCTCCTTTTTTTTCAAAGCCCCCTTGGACACACAGAAAAACACCCTGACTTACACTTAGAACTGCAAAAACATTTACATACTTGTAGTCTCATCCTTTGAGAGTTTCATGTATTGGGAATTCATGGACAAAATCATGTGTGTGTGTGTGTGTGTGTGTGTGTACGGTAAACAGGGTGAAAAAAGAAGCTTTCTTCCAAAATTTGGGTCCATCATTTTTTTTTATTTAAACCTACCACTTTATAATATCCTTATAACCAGCTAGGTTTCTTATCCCTTGTCTCATCCCAGCAGGTGTTAAAAGTTTGAGAGGACATGGTAATAAGCATTCTTATTCTATAAATCAGAAGTGTTTATTCTATTTAATGATAGAATCTTAAGATTTTGGTTCTGGGGTGTAAACATTTTAGACCCAGACCTTGTTTTAATTTTCTTACTGCGCTGGTCTGTTATTATGTGGATGAGGAACAGGTGAAACTACTAGCATTGATATTGGTCAAAGACCATCCTTTCAACCTGTTTATTGTTTTGCAAAAGAGAGAGAGAAAGCATGTGAGCAGAGGAGGGGCACAGAGAGAGGGACGCGTGGGATCCGAAGCAGGCTCCAGGCTCTGAGCTGTCAGCACAGAGCCGGACGCGGGGCTCGAACTCACAAACCGCAAGATCATGACCTGAACCAAAGTTGGACGCTTAACCGACTGAGCCACCCAGACTCCCCTTAAGACCATTGTTTCAGTATGTAGGGCAAGTTATGTCTTCTGACTCCCTACACCCTTCCATAAGGGGATCCTTCTGTGCTCTTTCTCTGGGTTGTGCACCATCGGGCACTAAAGAACCACTGTTGGTTACTTGCAGTGTGGGGATTTGAGAAAGCTACCTCTGTGCCATTTATATGTGTTACCTCCTTCTAAAATTTGCTTGAACTCTTTTTTTTCCCCTTTAACTTTAGTTATAGATATAAATAGAAAACTTGCTCTTGAATTTAGGAAAAGATAAGGTGAAGTATAAGCAACTAATGAAGTTGAGAGATGTAGCTCCCAGGAGCTACTCTCACATCCATCTGGCATGTAAGATTTAAAATTTTAAAACTGTGTCCTTATTTTCTGGGAACCAACAGTTCAAATAAAATTCTAAGAAATAACAGTTGGCTGTAGAGATTCAAGAAATGAGGCATAAAGTAATACAGATTGAGTGTCAAATGAATGGTGCAGGAGGGGATAAGATCACTTTCGGATAAACAACTTGGTGAAACCTTTCACAAAGAAGCAAGATTTGAATTGGGTTTTGAAAGATGGGCAGAGAAGGGAGAATGACATTCTGGTGAGTGTAAGTACAGATAAGTTTTGGGGACTGTGTGTAGTCTGTTTAATTATAGCACAGATGTTACTTGTAGATTACCTAGTTCTATCACTGGAAACTTTTAGCATTTTTTTCCTTTATTCTTGCTGTTCTATAGTTATATGAAGATCTATCTAGGTCTGGATCATCTTTCTGTGCATGGAGGAACCATTTTATTTAGTTCAGGTATCTGTTTCTGAGAAAATTTCTGCTTTTGTTTTGATCAATTCCTTCATGTATTTCCTAGTCTCCTGTTGTTTGGATGTTGGACCTTTTGAATTTCCTGGGTCTTTGATTTTTCTTTCATGTGTTTTTTATCTTTTTGTTTTCTTTTTCTGTATCCTAGATTTCCCTTATTTACTGATCCTTCTATGAAATTTTCTATTTTGGCATTTGATTTTAATTTCCATGAGTGGATTGTGGCTTCTTCTTTGTATCTTACTCTTTTTTTCTTTAATGTTTTATTTATTTTTGAGAGAGAGAGAGAGAGAGAACATGAACGGGGGACGGTCAGAGAGAGGGAGACACAGCATCTGAAGCAGGCTTCAGGTTCTGAGCTGTCAGCACAGAGTCCGATGCGGGGCTCGATCCCACGAACCGTGAGATCATGACCTAAGCCGAAGTTGGATGCTTAAACGACTGAGCCATCTTTAGTATCTTATTCTTAATTTATCTGGAATTAAAAAAAAATTTTTTTTAACATTTATTTATTATTGAGAGACAGAGAGAGATAGAGCATGAGCATGGGAGGGGCAGAGAGCGGAGGAGACACAGAATCTGAAGCAGGCTTCAGGCTTGGAACTATTGGCACAGAGCCTGACATGGGGCTCGAACCCACAAACCATGAGATCATGACCTGAGTCGAAGTCGGACGCTTAACCGACTGAGCCACCCAGGCACACCTACTTTATCTGGAATTTTAAGGTTCTTTTCTGTCCTCTTGGCAATCCATTTCTTCAGGGTGTCAGTTTTATTTTCCTTTGTCTTTCTTCTTTGTGTTCGTTTATTTACATGTGTCTTGTAATTCTTGGTTGTCCATTGATAGTTGAGAGTGAGGAAATTAGAAGGCTGATGGGTCACTCTGATACAGGTGAGTATTCTGTGAATGGTCTGAGAACTGGCTGTCAGGCCAGGAATATTCAGATGCCAGAGTGAGTAGAGCCAACATTCACCATTAGAGGCCTTTTTCTCCTCAGATAGCATGTTTATTTTCTTTAAAGACATGCTTTCTTCCCATTTGGGGGGGGTGGGGGAGGTAGAGAGAAAAGGAGGAACCAACTGGACCTTTCTTTCAGAAAGAATTTTAATGAAATTTTCTGCTTCTAGGCATTCATACCTTCCAACTTTGGATCCTCTCTATGATTCTTTTGGGACTATTGTTTATTTCTCCTCTCTGCTGAGTGTTTCCCTCCCAATGTGTTACAGGTGGTAGTTTTCTCTATTACTGTTCCTCCCCCACAAGGAAAGTCGTCGTCGTCGTCTTCTTCTTCTTCTTCTTCTTCTTCTTCTTCTTCTTCTTCTTCTTTTTTTAAGATTTTACTTTTCAGTAATCTGAAACATGGGGCTCAAACTCACAGCCCTGAGATCAAGGGTTGCACACTCTACTGACTGAGCCAGCCAGGCGCCCCTATTACTGTTTTTTTTTTTAACCCCTTATTATGGAAAGTTACAAGCATATCTAGAAGTAGAGAGTTATAGATGAATCTGTATGTGTTGTCCCTGTTGTATTGACCAGAAGTTTTAGTCATGGTTAATATTGTATGTGTGATTTTTATCTATTTCTCCCTTCATATTTGACAAACCTCAGATGTTATTCTATCTATAAGTATTTCAAGATGTACTTCTTTTTTTAAAAATTCTTTTGGAACGTTTTTAATTATTTTTGAGAGAGAAACTGGGAGGTGGGGAAGGGACAGAGAGGGAGACACAGAATCCAAAGCAGGCTTGAGCTCCAGGCTCGAGCTGTGTCAGCACAAGAGCCCGACACAGGGCTCGAACTCTGAATGATGAGATCATGACCCTGAAGGCAGTGGGGCTGGCTCAGCCGACTGACCACCCAGATACCTTTCAAAGAAGATCCTTTATAAAAGCACAGTCACAATACAAGTATTACATTCGTGAATAAATCTTTAATATC